AGCAGAACTGAAAAATAATCCAGGCTGTGACCTCTTGAGCGCTTAGGTTCTCTGGACAATCACGCGACTGGGATTTTTTTTCTTCTCTGCCCTGACTACATGCACATCCAAGGGGTTAAACCTCTCACTCAAATACTCAAGGCAGGTCCACGTGCCTGGCACAGGAACGCTGATGTTGGCAAGTGTTAGCCGCCAAGGGTGGAAACACCCCTGACTATCTGGGCTTGGATGCTTTGCTCCTAGGTACTGTTTCAGCCGGATGCCTTTTAGATGCATTGCGCTACCAGAAGGATACTGGGTGTTGTAGTTGGATTGGCGAAGGTGTCTGTAAAGTGCTAGGCACTGTTGATGAGGCAGGTGTGTTGTGTAGCTGGGCCCTCAATTTTAGGCAGGAGAGCCGAACTTAGTAGTTTAGACTGACAGTGCAGGGCCCACAGTCCATGTAATGAGTAACACAGAGAAGTGGATAGGGTTGAAAATCACTGTTGTCGGTTTTCCTCCCTCTAATACCTGCTTCAGTCATGTTAATTGTTAAGTGTAACGGAGGAGGAGGACAGGACAGGGCGTTTCTGAAGCATCTGCCAGCCCACTGGGGAAGGGGGATAAGGCATTCCCTACAGAGCTGCAAAGTATCCATTTGTGCCACAATTTTGCATTTTAAAAAATAAACCTCGGGGTAGAGGGTGGGGGGCAATCTTTATGTCTGTTCCAAAGGAGACCCAGAAAAAGCAACTTGTGCAAGCTATTTTAGAGAGGCTGTTTTGCTTTCTCAAGGGCTACATGATTCTCCCCAAACATTGGGGGATGATTACCTGGTTCAGGCATTTTACCTCAGCGCAGAATCAACATGCAAGGAAGGGGAGAGCAAGGTGACACATGCCTGCTGTGCCCCTGCTATCCTTATCACGCCGTGCGAGTCGGAGGCCAGCGCCTTTACTGAAGAGCTCTTGGTTGAGAAGCTTTGCCATGTCGTGTGCAAACCCGAATTTCCCTGGGTTCTGAACAGTGTAGGAAGCCCACATGGGTGAGGAGGGCTCCCTGCTTAAGACATCACCCCTCCAGCGCGGGGAGGATGCCTGGATGGGGTCCAATTCCAGGTGTCTTGCTGCTTCAGCCTGGGTGCCTGCTGCATGCCGTTTGGCTTATGGGAGAGTGACAGGGTTGCTTATACCCAGACTCTCTGGCCCCAGCAGAAGTTTTCAGCCCGCTGTGCTAAATCCTCAGCTCCTTCATAAAACGTTGGCTGGCTTTCTTCTCTAGCAGGCTCCTGTGAAAATCCCGTCACATCTCAGATCGCAGAACCTGCTTTGAGGGAGGCTCAGGAGGAGTTGCAGCTGTGCAAGAAGCTACCTTGGAGTGGACGGGCTGCCACCGAAGCCTCGGATTCACTCTAGGCTAGTGCAAAGGGAGGCTGCGGGGAGCAGGGCACCCTATGCTCGGGCACAGGCCCTGGCTGGCGTGCTGAGGCGCTCCTGTCCATGCACGAACAGCTGCTCGCTTTCAAACACGAGTCTGATTGCATGTGTGGCTCTTTAATGGAAACCTGCTGCCTTGTCTCCTGGCTGCTCCCCACTGAGGCTGCGGAGTCCAGCCCAAACCAAAGGCACACACGTTCGCACTCGCGCAGCTCGGGAGCCTTAAGAAAAGGCAGCACTTTGTTGTTACCAACTGCTCTCTGCTGCTTGTGACTCTGCCAAGATGTCTGACATTCCTAATGCTAAATGTGAACTGGGATGAATGTGGGGCCGCCTCCCACTTCTGGGGGTGGCTGGGATCTGTGTATGCCAATAGGTCTGCCTAACTGGTCCTCCTAACCCCAGCTCCCGTCGTGCACTGGGGGTGCCACTCTGCTTAAATACCCAACAATGAGAGGGTTTGTTTGGGATGGGTTGGCTGATTAATTTTATTGAAAAATTAGGCTGTGAGATAAAACAGGCTTTCTCTCCCAAGAGCTTCTCATTTCCCTGTGGCATTGAGCCATGTGGCCTTAAAAGCCTGCAGTGTTCAGAATATGACTTTAAACTTGCATGCCTGACATCAACATTGGGAGTGGGTGTAAGACCCTCTTTCTGCATTGGTGCCTCTGTGTGCAGCATTTCACCAAGGCTGAGGCAGGGAGGGGGGCAGTTCTGAGAAAGAAAGGAGGGAAAGAAAGACCTTATGGCCTACTGGTACGCTGACTGGAATTGTCCAGTGTGTCGTCTGAGTGGGATGGTGTAAACTGGGTGTCCAGCACCAGCAGAGTGTTGGCCCCTGTGGCCTTCATGGCCCCTTCCAGCTCTACTGTTCTGTGACGCTGCTAGGCCCAACACTGTGGGCGCTGCAAAGGTTAAAAGGCATAGATTGGTGATGGTGCCTCTCTGGGCGTGGACATCCACCCAGATCTTCTGTTATTATGCAGTTTTTCACAGCCCAGGCAGGACATGGAAAACTAATTCTGAATGTCAGGACACAGCAAACCATGTAAAATATCACTGAATGTCTAGATAAAGTAAAGTAGAGCCACTGTTGGGTAATACCTTGATTAGGACCCATTGAAATTCCAGGAAATTGTGCAACATTTTTTAATTCACCAGGACTCTTCTGTCAGGCTAGGTAATACAAAAAGCAGGGGATAAGGGGGAGACAGAGCCCCCAAATTTGGCCAAATCTAATGGCAGGTGAGAGGAGTGCAGGTCAGATGGGCCTAGTCTCAAAATGGATGTGCCGGGCTGTTTTTCTTTTTTGAACAGGCTAAGAATCTCCCGGTTCGTTTCTGAGAGCTAAACTAGACAAGGTGCTGCTCACATAATTAGCAAATGTCTTCTTAAAAGCACTTGGCCCACTAGGCACGTGGGGTCACAATTCAAATTACACTCCCTTCCCCTGCCCTGAACATTGCAATGAGGACAAACTTCTGTGGGTGCAAGTGGGAGCGTGAATCTCCCTGCGGGCGGCAGAGCGGGGCACTCAGTCTGGATCAACACCAAGCAGGAAGCAAAGGGTTCAGGTCCCTGCCAGGGCCCTCTTCTAACACCGGTCTACAGATTTTGGGAAATTATCGACCTCCAAGATAAAATGTGCTAATTCATACTTATTTTGATTAGATGAATTAGAAAACAGGTGATAAAGGTGCTGGTTGGCTAAAGTTTTCAAGATATTTCACAATAAAGATTTATACACAGGCGAGTAGGTATATTTGCCTACAAGGGAGGGAAGTGTCTGATGATCATGACGTCTTGTAACTTCTCGACAAAGTACAGTAGAACAGTGAAAATGGTACCACGTGGAAGTGTATAAATTTATCTTCACTTTGAAACTAAAGATTATTAGCTAACTGTGATTTATTGTTCTTTTATTGCAAGGTACATTTGTCTTGGTCAGATCTATGCATCATACAGTTACATCTGGTGGCTTGCGAAAGTGTCATTGCTAACATTTCCAAGGAACAGTTGCGTGATATTTTCCCTCAGAAGCCAAGACTGCCTCAAAAAGTTATCTAAACAAAGCAGATAACTTCTGCTACATTTGTGGTGAGGTTACATTTGCATGTCAAAAGTGCAGTATGACGGCAGTGGTAAAAAAAGGCACACCACCTATATTTTGGATGCAAAATAGGGAATCAGGACAAGAGTTGGGCCCCTCATTATTGTTGCATTACATCATTGGCTAAACAAGAAAAAGTCCGTGCCTTTCACAGTCCAATGGTGTGGAGAGAACCCACCAATCATAGTAGCAACTGCTATTTTTGCATGGCTCCCCCAATTGCAAAAGGGATCTCAAGAAAGAAAAAGTGGACCGTGGAATAGCCAAACATTCCATCCGCACTGCGTCCTGTACCCCCTGGTGAGGACTTGCCAATTCCAGATCCACCAGAATCCTGTTCTCTAGACTCAGATGATAATGATAAAGATGATGAGCTTCTCAGTTTTTCATGCTAAAAGCATGGAAATGTTACATGAAAAACCAATAAATGAATGGAAACGTATGTTAGTGGTATCAATAAAAAGAAAAATTTATTATGATTGGTGTGGCGCCATTCTCATTGTTATATCACATTTTGCAGAAAAGTTATGGAGCATAATCACACATCCTCTTCATAATTTTGAATTATTTTGATGCAATTTTGACCTGAAGCTTTATCTTGGAAACTGGAGCCAATTAATACGCAGGACTTAATTTTCCTTTATTAGTGACCCAATTCTGGTCAAGTTGAGCTACTTTCATTTCCGAGGCTTTCGCCTTGTAGACCCCTTGGGCTCCCCGCGGCTGCTGTTCAACCGTGCCGGCATGATGGCTTCCTCAGAGCGATGGCGTGCAATCGCCTCTCGTCCACTTCAGTCCTGAGGAGCCGCTTCAGCATGAGCGGGGAGCCGCACCAAGGGCACCTAGCTGTCTTTGCTGATCTCATGGGGTCCCTTTTAACCCGGGCTTTGAAAAGTGATGTCAGTCACACTAATGACACGTAGCATCTCCATAGCACCTTTTAATATAAATTACCCTTCTGTCTTCACAACAACCCTGCAAGGCGCCAAGGATTGTCTGTGAGGCGGCCAGGTGGACTTTGCATTTGCAAAGACCACCTGCTCCGTCCATGGCCAAGCTGAAATTCAAACCAAGTCCCAGCCCTGTGGGTGTCCCACGTGGCTGGTTTTTCCCATGCTTCACAGTGGTCTTCTGCATCTAGCACCCTCCAGATACCTTGGGCTGGCTGAGGATGATGGCAGTTGCAGTCCAGCCCACCTAGGGCCCCTGAACTGAGAAAGGCTGCTTTCAGGGCTTGGGCTCATTGGGAACAGCCAGACTAAGTAGTGGTGGGAGGGGGTAGAAACGGGAGGCAGGACTTCCTACAGCACTGGGGCTTTTCTGTGCTTCAAAACCCCGCCTAGTGTCTTTCCTAAGCAAGCTACTATGAATTCCCTCTTGCCATGTGGAGTGGGGGGTGGGGAGGGAGGGAGAGAGATTGTGTGCGTGCACGCACATGCAAGCACAACTAATGTGCGGTTATTTTCTTTTGTCAGGGCTCCGGATTCAAATGGCGCTCTCTTGGCCAGTCATTCGAGCAGCACAGGTAAGTCCCTTTGTTTCTTTCTGCTACAGAGCATTCAGCAGAATCAGCGCATCGCATCCCGCTCGGCCCCCTAAACAGATTAACAGATTCCTGGTGCTCCGTCGCCTCAAGTCAGACTGGGCACGGAGCCTCGCGGTCTTTGTTAGCTGTAAACAGTGTCTGCTAGGAGGCGACCTGCTCCCTTCGGATGCGCATGTGTATGTAACGCTGGGCCCAGAATCCCCCATCCTGGTTCCTCGGAGGCTCCTGAATCAACACATCGTGGGGTCTGGAGGCAGGGAGGTGAATCGCCTTTGGGGAGGGCTTATAATGAAGCATCCTCCTTCTGTCCTTCGGAAGGACCTCCTTCAATTGCAACAATAGCTCGCCTGATTTGCTCAAGACAGAGAGCAAAGCAATCCTCCCAGGGAGATTTTGACATTTGCCCTCCTGGGCTGTGCTTCACCGGGAAGGAGAGACAGATACAGATTATTTCCCAAAACATTGTCATGGCATTCAGCCTTCCGGGTGGGTGGGTGGATGGATGCATGCATGTGGGGTGAATGTGGGTTGTCTTAAGAAAGACATCTACAGAACCAGCAGCTGGGCCCCTCTGCTGTGTCAGATGCAGCCCCTGCCATTGTAACTGGGGCCAGAATCCTACCATGTTCAGTAGATCCCCAAGTTTTACTGTTCGGCAGACGCCAGCCTTCCCTGAACAAAGCTGCAAGCAGATACTGGCTGCAACCAAGTGCAAACTGCTGATAGTTATCCTTATAATGCAGTCTTGTCCAGCTCGGCAACCTGCAGGTGTGCTGGACTACAGACCCCATCATCCCCTGGCAGCGTGGTTAGAGAAGGCTGTGCTTTAATATTGGTGGGGAAACGTCACACTCTTTATCCTAGCCGTATAATTGAGTCATGGAAGCCCCTGGCTTGTGGGCCTGATCAAGCCTGCCAAATTTGCTCGTCCAGCCAATGGGCTCTTCCAGGGGGTGGGACTTGGTTTCTAAGCCCCACCTCTTGCAGGAACTGCCATGGTTATTGCTAGTCTCTGGGGTTCCCTAGGAAGGTGAGCAATGCACAGGGGAATCGCTGCTGTTGCCTCCAATCACAGTCAGAGATAGCAGTGGGGATCCCTGGGGTGCCTAAAGACGGAGCTCTTCTCCATGCTGAGAAGCTGTCTGCCTCTGGAGATTTGCTTTGCGCCCATCCCTGGCCTGAGCTGCTCTGTGCCTCTCAGCAGCATAGAAGGTGGCTTTCAGTGCCACCATTTCCCTTGATGGAAAGGCATGGTACAAATCAAATACCTTGGGTACAGCTGCCGGAGGCTTCTGTAGACAGAACAGAGCAGGGGGGACCATTCTGTTCTTTGCCCAGGCCACAGACTGTCTTGGGCAGGGTTGCTCTGGTGCTTGTGGGGTAGTTCCCCCATCAGCCTGTTTTGGATACCTACCTGTGGGGCTACAGTCTGGTTGGGCTTCCATATAGCCATCAGCTGATTAGCTATGTCACAGAATGTGGCTGCATTGCGTGGCCTTTTCCTTCCTGTTAATGACTTTTACTACGTGATGAGGAGGAGGGTTGAAAATAAAATATCAGTATTTTTATTTAGCATGGTGTCTAGTTCTAGTTTTGGAGGCATTACAGGGAAATTGTGATGAAAGCCATTGGAAGCATGTGACAAATGTTATTGCTAGCTATGCCATTTAGAAAGATGCTTTGATGCATGGAAATGAGGATATGAAACCATCTGAAATACTAAGTTAAGAAGGGAGCTTTGATATAGATATTGTCTCTGCTTTGCTTGTGGTTTTCAAAATTATTTGGTTTCATCTTTAAGTTCTTGTGAAACAGCAGCTCTTAGAGAAGAGAGGGACATTCATGAAAGCACGCAGGAAGTGGCGTAAAAGAACCTCTTCTGCTATGTGTATTTCTCAGGCTGCTCGGGCGTGATTTAACTCTTTAATGAAGTGGAAAGAAATGTCAAGTTATGAAACCTGGCAATTAGTGGTAGGGTGAGCAGCTGTCTCGGAATCGGCTGAATGCATCTCAATAAAAGCACCTTGTCAGGTGTCTCTGGATGACATGCAACTGAAATGGGCCGCATGCCAAAGTGTTGTGTTCGACTCACTCACATTGGGTCAGCCACACTCCATCAGCTGCTCAGTGCTGCAGTCAAGTGTGCGTACATTGGTGGTCCAGCCTCCGGGATTGCTTCAGTCAGCCACCAACTTTCTTAATCAACCACCTTCTTACCCTGGCAGATCCCCTTATCAGGCCACATGGCTGGAAGGTTCCCTTAACAGCTTACCCTCAATTGGCTTCAAGGGATGCCGGTCAGTTTTCTGGTTGATCACAGTCATGAAAAATTGCACTTTGTGTGGCATGTCAAAACTGGAAATAGTACTCATAACCAGCATGCTGAACAAGAATGCTGGGAATTTTTACTGTAAAGCCAAGAAGGTCCATGGAAGTAAAGGAAGATATTTGGAATTGCTGACACTTTTCTGATGCTGAAAGGGAAGATGGTAGGGGATCCATCTGAATAGTAATTGAAGTAGCCCTTGCAAAAGTGGCAGAGCTACATTTCATCCAAGGGTTGTGCGTGGTTGCTCACCACCACAGCGTTTTGACGTAGGATCTTGCAGAGGCTTGAGATGCTGTGATTCAATATATCTGGAGAGCACCAGGCTGGGGAAGATGGATGCTAAGCTTTAGTTAGATGCAGGAGAACTAGTAACCTGTTGTCAGTAGTAACAACTGACCATATTCTAAGCTTGATGGGATATGATGAACCTAATCACCAAATTACAGGTGGCCTTTGCTCAGATACCAAAGTAAAGCATCCTCCAGCTGCATCTGGAGATGGTGGGGACTGAACCTTGGACCTTTTGCATGCTGTGCAGGGAGTCTCACCCCCTTCCTGACATCACCATGATAAATGTTGCCATATAGCAACTGTCACCCAGAATATTCCTTTAATGGAGAATCAATCCGGCTGCATTAGTCATGGTATCTAAACCAGTATGATTCATTCTTTTAAATATCTGCCAGCAAAAGTGCTTTTCAGAAACTGAAAATGTCACTTGCAAATGAGACACTCTTCTGTTTCTTCTTGTAGTCTGAAGTTTTTAGTACTATGTACATTGAGTGTGATTGTAAATACTTTTGTAAGTAAACAGTGATTTTTATTATATTAAGCCATATACACATAGTACTAATAGATAATATAAATAAATGCAAGCTGCAGAAGGGCGACAACAAAAGGCAGGGTCTTCATGACTTTGGAAAAGTTACTGTTCCTGCAGCCTACCCAAAAGTTTGACTCCTGCAAAATGCACGTGGTGCCTTTCTTCACTGTTAATCCCCTAGGCTATGCCATATAGTCAAAATCCACTATATGATTTTGTGGATTACATGTGACGAACCCACACACATGTAATAAGGCTGCGTTGTTCAGTCAATTGCTGATGAGAGCATATTTTGCTGTTTTGCCACTGGGCTCCTATTTGATTCCTTTTGGCCGCACCTCTATGCCTGCGTCTATGCACTGTCGCTGGTGCATGGGCACCAGCCTGGCCTTGTAAAGCTGGTATGATAGGGAAAGCTGCTCCCTTCCTGCTTGATCTGTTGCCTTAATTTGGAGGTAGGGACGGAAGGGGAGAGGAGGTGCATTCTGCAAAAGTAAACATAAGCGATGGCAAAAACTTTGAATCAGATGCCTGGACAAGAAGCTTAGAGTTGTGTTTTGCCTTTCACATGCCCGTACTTGGAAACACATGAAGCAAGTATGTTTGCAGAATAATTGCTGGGCTGACTGACAAGCAGGGGGAGCTTCTGTTACTTAACAGTGGCAGGGTAGCTGGGGAGGGGTTGGGAACGCTGATAGGAAGGTCAGACTGGACCATTGCACCTTCAGATGCAGTTGCAGCCTGAGCAACTCCTTGGGAATTTCAAGTGCTGATATCTTTCCCTTTGTATCTTTTCAGGAAGGTGATCACACTGGAGAAGGAGGAGACACAGGCCTTTGGATTTGAGATTCAGGTAAGGCAAAATAATCCCTTCCGCCTGTCTTTAACCTATCGAATTTGCACCAACCAAAATTATGGGTGTATTATCAGTTGCAATTGTGGGTGTCAAAAATTCATATTAGTGTATTTGTAAGTGTGAAACTCAGAATGCCAAATAGTGAAATGAATGTTTAATCTTTGAAATTCTGATGTTTAGTTTGCAGAGTTTTAGGTGCCTAGCACTAGACTTTGGGGTCCTGGCCAGAGGTGACTAAATGAAAGCCCTGGCAAAGTTGGAATTTCAGCATTGTCTGGGCTTCACAATACACATTTGGGGAGATTCCAAATTCTAGATGACTTTTACTTTTTTGTCTCAGTTAGTTCCCACATGTTTCTGCCCCCTCATGCTACTAGAAGGTAGCTGTTTCTCAATCAGATTTTTCTACCTTATTAAATAATGCTCAAGCTATAGTGTCGGTTAATTGTCTCTATCTCGTCTATTTTCAGACATATGGCCTACACCACCAGGATACCAAACGTGTGGAGATGTTCACTTTTGTATGTCGTGTGCATGAAGATAGCCCAGCCCATATAGCTGGCCTGAAACCTGGTAAGAGATGATACGACTTTGCTTGGAACCAAATGAACTGCTTTAGGTCTCGTTCTTGCTGCACAGCTCATTCTGAGGCATGGAATGAGCCGTGGGTTCAGGGCTGGCTGGTCTTTCATCGGGAGCGAAGGTGGCTTGCTCCCTGTGCTGTGCCAAAAATTTCTTCTACATCTTTGGACCATTTCATTCAGTTTGATAGAAGAGGACATTGGTTTTGAAAATAAATTAAAAAGAAAAGAGATTCTGGGGAAATTCTTACAGATTCTTATGCCTGAGAAGTGTGTATAAGTGTCCTGCCTTTGACTGCATGTGTCTGGCAGTCCGAAGTTTCCTCAACTTCCCACAGTTCATTTTAAAGCCCAAGGGAAGATGTCGTGATTCTGCCCATAGGGCCTTTTTAGATCAAAAATTGCAGGGAGCCTGGGAGAATGTAGGCCACTGCAGCCATTTCTTTTCTTAACCACTTAAAGAAGTGACCACTTTGCAGAATTGTCTGCCTCATTTTGGGTGGTGTTCAGCTTTACCTCCCACTCCCACACAGCGCTCCAGAACAATACTAGGTGTTGGGTTCCTGTGGAGAATGCAAAGCAGTTGAGGTTGCTGTCCCTTCCAGCCGCAGTGCAAAAGCACCAGCAAGAGGCCATTTGCATGCAGCTCTACTGGCTAGGCCTTTGAGCTGAGAATACAAGGCCAGGACAAAGCTGCAGTGGGAGGTCTCAACGCATGTTTCTGAAGCAACTTTTCTATATGTCTTTGTTACCTGCCCCCAGAAGCACCTTTCACAATTTTGGCTGTTGCAGGGCCAAAGGGGAAAATAGCTCAAACACTTTTTTCATTTGGAAAACGTCCCAGAAGATGACGAGCCTATAGAACAGTGGAAAAAGACTGGGGAAGGGCAGGCCTGGCCTTGAGAAGAAAGACTTCTTGCCTGTCTCTGGCCCTTTATCCTGAGGTTATACACCCTCTCTTCTGAGTCCCAGAGAGATCCAGGAAGTGTTGAGAGAGATGGCAGAAGCAGTGATGTCAGGCAGGCCCTTGCTGACCGTTCATCAGCTTCCATGAGCTCTCCATGCCATCAGTGGGCTCTGCGTCATTCCCAGCCGTTACTGAACAGAAGTTGGGCCAGCAAAACCATGAGAGCTGCGCATCATGGCTGCCTCCCATGGCAAGCACATTCCAGGAGGGTCCACCCTGTATTGGTCTCCCAGCCTTGAAACTCTTCTTGCCCTGCATATTCAGAAAAAAAGGGAGGGCTGCCCATTCCTAAACAAGGACACTTCCTGCCTGCTCCCTCCTGGCCCTTGTAGTCCTGTTCCCTATCAGTCCCTGCTTTAGGTTTTTCTGTGCAGCTGAGCAGTTGCTGATGAAGGAAGGAAGCCGGGGTGGGGAAATGGGGAAAGAGAAAGAGGCAGTGCCACCGTACGGGTGCATCCATGTCTCAGCCCAGTGGAGAGTCCCTCTTCTTGGGCCAGGGCTGGAAGGAAATCCAGCAGCAGGTGAAAGACCTGAGGCCTTGTCAGGGAGGAACCACACAGTGACAGCCGTTTCTCCCCAAGATCATCCTACTTGTTGCCCAGGGAAGGTGTGCTGAACAGGTGAGATGCAGAGAGATGAGGCTGGGAAGTAGCTGCTTTGGGAGCAGGGCATGTGACTCCTCCCCAGAGGTGCCCCACTGCTCTCTTCCCAGGGGAGCTGAGGCTGGTGCAGCTGCTTGCAGGGTCACATTGACAGCAGGCTGAGCTGAGGACGGTTGAGAAAGGTGGGAGTCCAGGTGCTCCATCATGCTTAGCTGTGCAGCATTCCTGCTTCCCCTTCCCTCCCAGGTACTCTGAAGTGGCCACCACCCGACACGTACAGCTTCGCAGTGTGGGTGATTTTAAAAGCAGGGCTTTCTCTGTCCCAGCACGCCAGCAGAAAAGCTGCTGAATGGAATGTTCTTTTTCTTGCTGTGTTTTTCACTGTGTTTATAATGGGGGTGGTTCTTACATTGAATTAAGATCTTTTAACATCCACATATTACTATTACTACTGTGAAGATCATCCTTGTAAGGCAGAAGGCTGGGAGATTCATTTAATAATTCGTGAAGGGTGCAGTCTGATGGCTCCCACCTTAGCTCCATGTAAACCTCCAAAATCATATGCAACTAATCCTCTGAACTCAGAGGCCCACATGCATCTTATGGGAGGAGCTGGCTGGGATGGCAGCTCTCTTGGCTGCCACCATGCTTTGCCCTGTGTATTTTATCTAGACAGCTGGTTTGGGCCATTTAGTTAAAGCACTGAGGAGGGAGAAGGAAGGAGACGGAGGCGATGCTAGCAACTGGCGTAGGTAAAGGGTCAGTCCCCTTCCCTCCTGCTCCTCCAGCACACCCCTTTCCCCCTCCCTGAGGTGCGTTTGCGCTCTCAGAGAAGCACCCGGCGTAGTTCCTTCTGTGCTGGCTGCAACGGGGGCTTGGCAGTGGCTTGGCTGTCTGAGTACAAGCACCTTAGTGTTGGGACCACAGAGAATCCTGTGGTCCCACAGACCATGTCAGGAGGCCATAGGATTGTGCCCTCATTTGATTTATATTGGCTGCCGAGCGGTGAATCTCTGCTCTCGTTATTTGAAACCTCTCTGGCCCTTAAGGCTATAGCATTATGCCTGGCAAAGATGACACACCAGAGGAATGGCTTGAATGAGAATTTCCCAATGGTCCAGGCAAGGTCATCTGGCATTTTGTAGAGGGCTCCTGGGCCCATGATCCTTGTCAGTCTGCTCAAGCTAAATAAAGCAAAATAAGAATCATGTGAATGGGCATCATCTATCCAGGTTGCAAAATGGCATTTTTATTGTGGAATGTGCTATCCTAGTACATGATTTCTTAAGTATTGCTTAATATCTTGCATATAATTTAATTTATTAAAAACCTCTCAAAATAAATTTATCTAGGCATTCTCCAATTTAAGATGCAATAATAATCACACAAAAATACAAAAAATCCAATAAAAACAACCAACAATAAGCAACTAACAAATACATCCAAACAGCAAAATAATATAAGAATACAAAAATTGAAAATGACTAACAGGTCAGATTGCATTTCAACAGAGATGTTCCTTGCTAATGCCAGAAGAAACTGGGTACACCTGGTTCACCTATTTCTGCTGTGTATTCCAGGCTTTTTGTTCCTCTTTGATCTACAGGAGATACCATCACTGGCGTGAATGGGCTCAATGTGGAGGGGATCCGCCACCGTGAGATTGTGGAAATCATCAAAGCATCTGGGAAAGTGCTCCGGTGAGAACAAGAGTGGGCAGAACACTGGGGGAAGCTGGCACATGGTGCTCTTCTAAGAGGGATCCCATGACGGTCTCTGACCAGCCACCATTCATCACTGTTTTGCTTTATCCAGGTTGGAGACCTTGTACGGCACATCAATCCGAAGGGCGGAGCTCGAGGCCCGTCTGCAATACCTCAAGGTTAGTGCTTCAGTGAAGCAACCTGTGTGGGAAGGCAGTCCCCAGGATTACTGACAGAAGCAGCTTAGAACTGGAGACCGAGCCAGTTGCTCGTTGCAAACATACAGCTGTGCAATGTTGAAACAACACAGATAGTGAATATACAAGAATGGCTGTTTCTGAATGGTTGGCCTTCAAAGATAATCAGCTGTCTGTTGTGGCCATTCACCATGTGAAGTCTTCATTTCTGTGCTGCTCTTGTAAACAACCCACTGTGTGGGGATGTCACATTTATTCCCATTTCCTGGTAGATGATAGAGTTTGTCTGGGTCTTTCCAAGAGGTAGTGAAACTGAGGGAAAGGTGGAGGTAGCCTAGGATAGGGGCTGTAGCTGGACTTGAGGTGGCATCACTGTTCTCAAGGCTGGCAATGCCCCGTGCCCTGCAAGGCTTTTCACGTAGTGCTCTGCGTGGATGTCTCGAGATGCTGTGCCATCGCACAGAGCCCTCGCGAGCTGCCATGCAACAAGTCAGGCCTTGTGTGTGAGCATGCAAATAAAATGTGCAGGGATTAGACTTCCTGGCAGGAGATGGAAATTAGGTGGGACTAACAGCTTAAAAACCAAGCTAGCAAACCGACCTGGCCTCCTTCGTTGCAGCAAACGCTCTATGAGAAGTGGGGAGAGTATCGGTCGCTGATGGTGCAAGAGCAGCGCCTCGTCCATGGTGAGTGCCAGGGGAAGGTGACAGGCGCCTTCGTGTGAACAGACTTTTAGGCCAGCTCACACATGCGGCACCCGGTAACGTCTTAAGTCTTCTGATCAAGTCTTCTATTCTGCTGTGCTACAGGCTGGGCACACCTCATTGTATCCAAGCTCATGAAACCCTTTAAAACCACATTGTTCCTGAAAGCAAGCAGAACTTCCTTCTTCACAGAACAGCCATGCTGCTTTGTCAGACTCTCATTTCCCGTCCTTAAATCCTGCGGTTCTTCCACCCACAGTCTTGGGGGAAGGTTAAAGCCTTCACTTTTCCCTTTGTGATGGTTCAAGGAGCAGTCCTGGGATCTCCCAAAGGCCGTAAGGTGGTGTGGCTTCCCCTCTGTGCCTGCAGAGGGAGTTCCACCGGCTGAAAGGAAGATCTGCCCTTGCTGACCTCCTTGTGGGTGTGCAAAAGCAACACTCCTGGCCGTGTCGCTCTGCTACCGGGGCTCTGGCAAAAGCAGCAAAAAGGAAGCCTGCCAAGAGCAGATCTGGGGAGGCTTTGCACCACGCCTCCGGGACAGGGAAAGTGTCCCACGCCTGGGGGTGGCATTCTTCGCCTCCCAGCCCCTCCCCGCCCTCTTTGCTATGCCACAATGAGCCCAGCGGGGTTTTCCTAGTTCCCCTGCCCAGGTTTCTTCCTCCCCTGCCCGGTCTGGATTGCTGTGCTAGTGATGTAATTGGTAATGCTGAGGAATTGCGGGTGAGGGGGCTGGTGGCACTGGGAGTGTCTCCTGAGTCAAGAAGAAAGTCCCCCTCCCACACGTCAGAGAAGTCGAGGCTTAGCCTAGTCGCATCCTTTCTGAGAATGGACACGTGTCCCCTGCTCTTTCCCGCTAGGGATCGTCGTGAAAGACCCCAGCATCTATGACACCTTGGAGTCTGTGCGCTCCTGCCTGTACGGCACTGCGCTGGCAAAGGGCTCCGCACCCCTCAGGACGCTGTTGCCGGGAGCAGGGAGCACGTACAGCAGTGTGGGCTGCGTCAGCAGCACCACGGAGGACAGCGAGGATTCGGTTTACCAGACCTGCTTTTTTGACTCTGCCAATTCCCTGGACGCTGCCCCCACGGCCGCCCAAGCCTCCCGCCCCCAGGCCACGCTAACTCGCAGTGCCAGCGTCAAATGTACCAGCAGCAATGGAGCTGCCCGCTTCTGGGACAAGCCATGCGACCCAAACAACACCTCAGCAACACCGAGGCCCAGGAAGAGCAAACAGGGAAGCTTCCGGAAGAGGTTCTTGAAGTTCATCCCTGGGTTGAACCGCTCTCTGGAGGAAGAAGAGAGCCAGTTGTAGAAAAACTGAGGAAGTGGGAAAGGCGGGCTGTCTCCCCCTTCAAAGTTGGCTATTTATTTATTTATTTGACCATCCTTTGGGTGGTTCAAAAGACTCGAGCTTCCAAGAAGACCTGAATGCCAGCTGCCTCCCTGTGCTTTACGGGATGCAGCTCATGTTGGATAGATCTGGCCATGGACTTGGCTGAACTGCCAGTGCTGAACTGATTGATTTTTCGGGCAATGAGCTCACAGGGGTTGGGAGAAATGCTGAGTCTTCAAGGAAGCAGGAAGCGATGGCGGCAGGCAGGGAGAGGGGATCTCAAAAGGAAGTGCAGCAACTTGTCAGGCCAAAGAAGCACACAGTGATCCAGCCGCCATCATCTGTGGGAGGACATTGTTGGAGCGGGATTCCTCTCAGGAAATAATAGACCAAACTATAAATGCTACTGGATGGCTCCTTGCTGTTGAGGGCTTCAGCAGCTTCTGAGAAGGGTGGATCTTGGGAAATGGAAAACTGCTTCTGGCTCCTAATGGGCAGGAGTTTTGTTTTGCTTTTTAAAACAAAATCTTCTGGAAAATTGGGTGGTCCGGGATTGTAAATCGTGGGGTTTGTGTTAGGACTTGAAGGTGTATTAGCAGAACTGGCATGAAGTAGCATTTGAGCTTTAGAGATTGAGGTTTTTCTAATATCAGTAGGATGTGGCAGCCCTGTCCTGGGATAAAAATGGCTTTCAGAGGGTGGGGCCCATGAGGTGTGGGGTGGAGCTGAGAGGGAGATGAAGAGGACTGCAGGGTATGTTACTTCTGGGTGGCCAGTCTTTTCCCTTCCAACCTGCAGGCCCTTCCCTGCCTGCTTCTGAACCATATTTGAGAGAGGCGGAACTGTTAATTCGTGGCAGGCCAGACTGCTGCATCCAGCACTTTGTCAGCTATTGCGATTGCTGTCTTCTATCAATCTGGTCGCAGTGTCTGGGAATCCCCCTCCCCCTCCACCCCCAATTTGTAACTGTGGTTTTTGTGCTGCCGATCCCTATCTGTAATCTGCTCAAAGAAGCACTCTTAACAAACTGCATCCTGCCTGTCTCATCACCTCCAGAGGCTGGTCCCTGCAGCCTCCTGCCAGCCTTTTAAAAAGCCCAGATGTAGTTTATACTTGCCTTCCGACTATTTTTACTGCAGCTCTTAAAATAGGGAACAGTGGTTTTATCTTTCATGTTCTCTGTTGGCACAGACAGCATGATGAGAAAGACTTTCTGGCTGCAGAGAGGTAGCACTGAGTAGCACCTCTTCCCTACACATTTTTAATTGCGTTTATTTTGGTTTAACACCAAGGGTGCTGATCTGATTTCCATATTCTTTCCCTTCTGAACTACAGTTCCTAGAATTCATTGGGACAAAAACCCCATGGCCAGTTACCTCCTTTATTCTCTCCCCCTTCTGAACTATGATTCCCAGAATTCCTTGGGAAGAGAAGCCCTGGATTCACCCTGGGTCCTGAATTCTGTGGGTTGGCCTAGCAATAAACACTATTTGTGCTGCCGCCAAACAAGAGCTACCCTGAGATGAACCCATTAGGAAAGCCAGCCTGGAGAATATAGATACTGCACTGATGTCCTAAGTGAAAGACCTCCTAGAATGAGAGTGAGAAAAGTGGAAGATGGTGTGGATTATTCAGCTACTGGAACTATTCCTGTAAAAAAGATGTATTTTGAATCAATCTGCTCTGCTCTCTCTTTGGAGAAGGCCAAGAGTAACAGCGAGCAGAGGGGCACTTTCTTTGTTTTTGCGATTGAAACTGAACCTTATCTCAGGAAGTAGCTGCAGGAAGGGGAGGTGGCTGACACAACATGAGGAGGAAAAAATGGGCAAAGGGTGCACATCGACTGGTGCATCTCAGAAGGAGATCTAAGTGAAAGTGAAGCAAGACCGTGGATGGAGGCGGTGGGGCAGGAGAGGGGCTAAGTTCAGCTTACATATGCATAAAAATGTAACCTGGGTAAGGGGAAAACAAGGCTAAGTATTTTGTACAGACATGTGCTCCAATGTTTCAGAGGTTAATTTTTTTGGAGAAATACATTAAGACATTTTGCATTCAGGTGGTGGTGCTCTCATTTTGTGTTGGCCTTGGCAAGCAGCTGTAAGCAGTTGTGGGTTAGTGGACTGGATTGGACTTTGGGCAGGGACATCAGAGTTCAAATCTTCCGGGGCCTCCTGCTCTGTTCTTTCAAAAACTGGGGAAGATTACCCCCTGGCCTTACGGCTCTTCCAGCTGTACAGATGACTTGGCTCTAATGTAGACCGCATCCGTGCTACCAAATCTTAGTGGAGTTCATTGCCCAGTCTCTAGATATTGCTACTGGGAGTTACGATGTTCTGAGGATGGATGGGTATCTTTCTCCTGTAGCACTCTGTAACCTACATTCTTCTGCTCTCAGGATTTAGAGCCTGGCCCAGTTGCATTCCAAGGGACCCAAGCAACAATTTTTCAGCATTTCCGCAAAATTGCTGAGTCCAGGCTTTTGCTTTTCCACAATCTTTGATTTGTTCTCTGTTCTGAAGCTGGGAGTTCCCAAAATGGCTGTTTGTGCATGTTCATGTGGTTACTGTTAATTGCACAGGGAGCTGTTCTGCCCTGACAGATGCCCCAAAATAACCCAGACCAGAGGCAATTCTGGTTAAGTTTAGCTTTGGAGGTAGGCAGGTGCCATCTGGCCTCTGAATGGGAACTATCACATGGTCATAGATTCATACAGTTGGTAGAGGGCTAGGAGGTTGTCAGGTCCAACTGCTTACTCAGTGCAGGACTCAAGTCTCCCATCCAGAATCCAACCAGGCTGGAACCTGCTTAGCTTCCAAGATTAGGCAGGATCAGACACTTCAGGCTATAGTATATCACTATGCTTGGATTCTGCAACTAAATTTAAACAGGATTTTAAAAGCAAGTTACCACACGGACTTTGCAGACTTTCTCTTCCACTTGACTCAGCCAACGGCTTTACCTGTGAAATATTTAGATTAAGCAGTTTATTTATTCCTTCCAGCAAATTGGTGATATGTTTTATTGTAGAGGAGCTACAGTCACAACAGATGTAAGAAGGCAACAGCAAACGTAGTGCTCCATCAGGTCAGATGGGTGTGTAAGGAGCCTTAGGCTGTGGTCCTGCCACTAGACAGCAACAGTTTTCAGAGTATTGGCCTCTGAGTGCTTTCTGCTGAAAAACTTGAATTGCCCGGATCCACTTCCCAACATGGCTTTCTATTCTAAGCTGCAAGACTTCCTGGCTGTTTTTCCCCATGCTGTTCTTCAGGTTTAGCAGTTATTCGGGTTGACATAAAAAATAAAATTCCCAGTACCATAATGCCCTTTTGCGTGACTGCATCTAGAGGACACATACAGTTCTCATTGCTGTGTCTCAGAAGAAGAACAGTAAAGGGCAGCAGATGGTCACCAAGCTGATCAGAATGTTGCAGTACTTTCCCTAGACAGAAAAGCTGCAGCATTTGGGAATTTTTAGTTTAGCAGGGAGTAGATGAAGGGGGGATCACATGGGAAAAGCACACGACACTTAACTAGTACATGGACTTTGCTGTCATGTGAGGGCCACTAGCTTCGAAGAAAAGCTAGGTGACTTCATGGTGATCATTGCCCAGTGGCTGCTAGTTTTCATGGCCCTGCTAGTTCAGAGGCAGGCTGTCCCTGGAGGCAACTGTGGGGTAAGGCCATTGTCTTCATCCTGAGCTTCCCAAGAGGCATCTGGTTGGCCGTTGTGGGAAGCGACAGGCTGGACTTGGTCAACCTACCCCAGTCTGAATCCCTCCAGGTACATTGTCATTGACAGTGCTTGCAGGAGTTGTAATCTAACACACCCGCAGAGTGCCAAGCTTTGAACGACTGGACTAGCTGAGTCTTCAGTCCAAGGGGGGTCAGCTCCCAGCAACCCTAGCCAGCAGAGCCAGGGGTGAGGGAGATGCTATACTTAAGTGTGAGGCACAGAAGTTCCCAAGTTCAGACCCTGACATCTCCCTGTAGAGCTAGAAAAGAAGCCTGCCTGAAACTCCAGCAGTGTTGACAATACTGGGCGAAGTGGACCAGAAGACTGGCTCATCTTCCTCTGTTCCTAAAAAATGAGGGAATCTATAGGCAGAAACCTGGAATACCACAGGTTGTCCATCCCTGCTTTTAGTCTAACCCAGGAGATTAAATGGAATCTAACCATTTATATTCTCAAATGGAAATGTGCTCAAATGAGCCATGACATTTGAGGACAGGTGCAAACTGGGAGGCCTTACAATGCGGCTGCAAGGTGCTGAGGCTTAGACGCGAGCAAATTTGCAGTGGGAAGGAGCCAGCAGCATCTTTCTTCATTGACGGAACCTGAAGCACAGGTGGCACTGTGAAGAGGGTCCACTCAGTGCGTTTTATAGTTCGTGATTGATTGATTGATTGAAAGTTTTTTCTATGCTGCCCCATTACTAAAAGCCTGATACAGCAGATAGTAATGTGCTGGTCTTTGTTACACATGGCTCCTACACACTTCAGAGTAGAACTCTCCCAGAAATTCTGCATTTCTAGTTTGCCCCAGAAAATATAGTGATGGGTAGCAGATAAGGTCAGACTTGGGCCACGGACATCAGAATCCAAATCTCTTTGACCAAGCAGCTCACCTACTGTTTTTCCCAAAGCCATTATCTCTTGGCCTAACCTACTTTAAGTGTTATAAAAAGAAAATGATCAAATCCTGTGCATGCCACCTTGTGTGCCTCAAAAGAAAGGTGGGATGCGGCTGTGATAAACTTGCTCTAGATGTGCAGCGAGTCAAGAAGTGAAGTCGCTTAGCCAAAATTTCTCAGAGTGCCAGTGGTGAAATGATAGAATTGGAAGTTTGCATTCCCAGGTCATTCTTTCCACTGATTCGAGGTGCCATAAGAGATATTTTCAGAAGCGGGCAGATTTGGAGCCAAGGGCAGAGATCTTTGACTCCACTGCTCTGTGGCAGAGCGGTGAGCCCACATTTGCAATAGAGCTGGGATACTGAAGCCCCCTCATGCTTGCTGAGTCTCCTGTGCAATGCCTTTGGGTTGCTTTTGCCCAACCGAGCCTGCTAGCAGTGCTGGAACTGATGGGGGGGATGATTAAAAACTGCTTTGTGGGTTTATCCCTGAAGAATGGGGGTGGGGTGGGGATTAAGCACTTACCAGCCTGCCCAAAAGGCCATTGTCCTCATAAGAGGGAAACAGGTTGAAAACTTTGCTCCCCTCCTAACAGCTGGACCTGCCCTTACTGAAACTGCATAGAAGAGCGAAACATCTTGGTCTCTGCCTTTTCTCCTGCTAGTGTCACCACCATATTTGTCTTTATTTTCCGCCAAGGGCAGCCAGTGAACGATAGCAAGCTAATCAGCTGTATTTGGGCGAGTGGGAGCTGATGAGGTTTATGCTCAGGGTTTATGCTTTCTCCTGAGCCTAGCTTACTCAGATGAACCCCCCACTCCCCATCTGTCATCTGCCAGTCCAAGGCCAACTGTTCTCCTTGTTCAGGGAATACACACTTCAGTGGGAGTTTGGGAGCCCTCAACAAAGCCCTTTCCGCGAAGCTCAAAGTACATCTGGGAATAAGCACAGAAGTCCAGCTTTGCAGGCCCCTAACCCCAATAACTTCCAAAGCTGGGCTGGCAAGGTCTGAATGTGCCTTTAGTGGCCATTTCATTAGAGGTGGAGTTTTGCAGGCACAGAATGAAGATCTGTGCTGTAAAAGTGCATCACTGCTGATTTTTGCACATCAAGCTGTGTACATGGGCAAGGTAAACTATGATTTTCTGTCACTTGATAATGCTAACTGCAGAGCTGACTCCAGGTTGGAAGAAAACCTCTGGTCAGCCCCCTCTTTTTAAAATGAATCCTGGTATGGTTCCCTGGCAGTAACAGTGCTTCAATCAGTGTTGGGTGGCTGAGCTTGGAAGCCACCATTTTAAATTTGCCACAGTGCCTCTGACATCATTGCCCTGGTGCATTGTGGCAAATTTAAAAAGTGACTTCAAACTCATCTGATTGAAGCACTGTGGACGGGTGGGTTCTCCAGCGTTTTGATCATCTGTACACTTGTTTGAGACAAGGTTCCATCACACTTAATGGGATGGACTTCCACCCTGAGCACCAAATCCAGCTGTGAAGTAACTGAAGATCTGGGGGTGGAATTTCTCCCATCACAATAGCACATTCACAACCAAAGAACACACTGTCCCTCCCACATAATTGAATAATAGAAGGAGATGTTTCTGTGCACCATAAAACCTAGCTACAACCTGCGTCTTATTTAGTGAGCATTTTTGCCACCTGTGCACCTTGAGACAACCTGGGGATGGGGCAGATTTTTTTTGTTGATCAGCTTATTTAGGGGGTGGAGTGCGGGGGGGGGGGTCCCTGGGGATTGATTGATTGTAGGTACTGCAGCAGAAGGGCGCTAAGTGCCATGGGGACTGCATCTATAAATGGCAGCCACATCACCTGGAGCAGGCAGGTGCTGCTGCCTTCTAAACACACACCTGGCCCTGGTTGCTATAGTACCTGAGCACCTGGCAGTTCTGTCAGTGATGTTCCTGCAACAGGCCATCTGGAAGCCAGGAGAGAGAGAAGTGAAGGAGAGGGCACACGGGCTGAACCGTAGGGTGTACGGTTGCCCATGCTTTTCTTTGTAACTCTGCCTCTTTTCAGCTTCGTGGCAGGCAAAAATTAAGCAGAAGGAATCTTTTCCAGCTCTGTGCCATTGACATTTCCCTGCTAAATTCCTGCAGGTGCATTTGTTGTGTTACAAGCAGTGAAACTGCTCCAAGAAAAAAAAAGTGGTGGGAGTTGACCCAGTAATGAGATCGTATGTTAGGGGATGGATGTCTTAAGAGGGCCATCCTGCGACTCCTCACCAGCTGCTGTTGTTCCTACTCCACACTGCCTCTTCCTTGCATGACAGGCAGGAAGCCAAGCACACAGGCCAGGGCATCCACTGTTCTTCCTGCACACCACCACAGTTGTCTTAGCTAGAATGAGAGGCAGGAGAACAAGCGGGTCACAACAGTGAAGAGGAGCAGCTTCAGGCAGCCT